TTCTGCAATGCAGCAGTATACAAAATTAACACCTAGAAATTCAATGGCACTTTTTATACACCAATAATGATCTCTTAGAAAGAGAAAAAAGAAAAAAAAAAATCCATTTACCACTGCAACAAAAAAATTAAGATACTTAGGAATAAACTTAACCAAGGAGGTAAAAGACCTGTACTCAGAAAACTACAGGATGTTGGAAAAAGAGACAGAAGATATAAACAAGTGGAAAAATATACCGTGTTCACGGGTTGGTAAAATTAGCCATCATTAAAATGTACATACTACCTAAAGCAACCTATAGATTCAATGCAGGCCCTATTAAAATACCAATGGCAAATTTCACAGATCTAGAATAAATACTCCAAAAATTCATATGGAACCAAAAAGACCCCAAATAGCCACAGCAATCTTGAGAAAGAAGAAAAAAGTTGGAGGGAATCACAATACTGGATATCAAACTATACTACAAAGCCACTGTACTCAAAACAGCTTGGTATTGACACAAGAACAGGCAGGCATATAGATCAATGGAAGAGAACAGAGACCCCAGAAATTGACCCAAACTATTATGCTCAATTAATATTTGACAAAGGAGGCAAGATTATACAATGGAGTAAAGACAGTCTCTTCAATAAATGGTGTTGGGAAAATTGGACAGGTACATGCAAAAAAATGAAACTAGATCACCATCTTACACCATATACAAGAATAAGCTCAAAATGGATAAAAGACTTAAATGTAAGTGTGAAACCATAAAAATCCTAGAAAAAAACATAGGCAGCAAAATATCAGACATCTCACGTAGCAGAATTTTCACAGATACATCCTTAGAGCAAGAGAACAAAGGAAAAAAATAAACAAATGGAACTATATTAAACTAAAAAGCTTCTGCACAGTAAAAGAAACCAGCATCAAAATGAAAAGGTAACCTACTGTATGGGAGAACATATTTGCCAATGATACATCGGATAAGGGGTTAATTTCCAAAATATATGAAGTACTCATACAACTCAACAAAAGGAAGACAAACAACCCAATTAAAAAATGGGCAGAGGACCTTTTTCTTTGTGAAGACAAACCTCATTTCTTACAGAATTACTACTACATTCTCCCTATGGAAATACCATGTACTGTATACATACAGATATGTATGTGTATATACAAAAAAAAACAGTAACACACATGTATATATGGTTTTTTGAAAATGTGTCCCCTAATAAGGTGTGATACAAACTCTTCCCCTAGCATGAGGAGCTTGGAAAAAAAAAAAAGTATTTTTAATTCTCATCTGAGGATTTTAGAGGGAGAGGGAGAGAACATCAATTTGAGAGAAACATCAAATGGTTGCTTCTCAGAGTGAACCCGAAACCTGGGTATATGCCCTGACCGGGTATCGAACCTGCCACTCTCCAGTGTACCGGATGATGCTCCAATCAACTGAGCCACACCAGCCAGAGCAGGAGCTTGAATATTTTGAGAAAAAATTGGTGCTTGAGTTATGCCATTACTCTCACATATAAAAAAATGT